AGGCTTTCCTGATTGAACATTTGAATTGTGGCTTTMCTTTTAATAGAGCACCTGGAGTGGGGAAGGCCTGGAACATCCTGCCTGCTCCAGGAGCATAAGGAATGTGGTGGCTTGCTCATGTTTCACATGGCATTAGTGCTGGCAGGGCTGGAATTCTGCTGACAGGCTGGAATTCTGCTCAGGTGGAATCGGTGCAGAGGCAAAACAGATCCYAGGTGCCCAGTGGAGAGCTGGCTCAGAGGATGCTCTTCCCATTCCCAACTCCTGCTGCCAGGGACGCCTGACAAGTACCACCAGCAATTAGGGAATGGCAGGGACGGGGAGCAGACTTCCAGCCTCCACTTCCTCCCTAACAGGTGCCGCGTTTTGTGAAGGAAAAGCTCTGTGTTGCTGCATCTGCTGCACTCGGTGCATGCCAGAACCACCCAACAAACTGCTGCGCTTCCTTCCTCATCCCCCCTTTAAAAAATGGGAAATTCAGCAGCGAGGCCCCGTCCCTTCCAGCAGCCCGTAGCCAGCAGCGCCATCGATTTTCTGTGTTTGCTTTAAGCCTGKGAAGCCTGTGCTTTCCTGCACGCTGTCCTGATGGAGCCCTGCCCAGGCAGCGTGCAATGCCCCCAGCCCTGATGTGCCATTAATGATAGGTTAATGTGCAGTGTAATGTTTTTTGGACGATGGGTTCATTACACTTCTGAGTGCAAGGTCCTTCTGCAGAGCGCCCAAGGTCCCATTGCATTATATCATGCAATAAAAATACCCTTTTCATATCACACGCTAATAAACTGTGCTTGAAATGCTGTCTGAGGGCGCTGCCATTGTCTTGATAGGCTCTGTCTGCAACAGTTGGGATCTTTTTATGGTGGTTTGTGTTCTGCTGAGTTCAAAATTTTTACATGAAACGTGTCGTTTGTCGGTGCTGCTYGGTGATAAATGGAGCACGGGCCCTCGGCTGCTCAGGCTGGGAGGGTTCCTGTGAAAATAAATGGTGAAAGGATGGTRCCACTGCAGCCAATGCAATGGCACTTATTTCCCAACCTTCCTTGTACCAGCATGAGGAATTTTCTTGTCGTTCCTAATTTGCTGCCCTCCCCTGTCAACCTCTTGCTGTCCCAGGGATAAAAATGTAAGGAGATGGTGCTGTGGGTTAGATCTGCTGTACTCCAGCAGTGTCACCGACCACCGCTGGGGATCTGGGTTCCTTCCCTGTCCTCATCCCTCTCGTGTTCTGTGTCCCAGCAAACACCACGCTGTCATTTGGGGATTTCCAAGGAAACTGGTGGCTGACTGAGATTTCCCATTCKGAATGGGCTTTGTCACCTTTCTAGGCTACTAACTGCCTGTTCTATGAACCTTTAAACCAGTCTCCCATGAACTCCCACTTCCTTTGTGCCCGGAAAGAGCTCTGAAATCCCAGGCATTGCTTGAGGGATRTTATTTGCGGTCTGCCTGTCCTTTGGCAGTGCTCAGGAGCATCGCTGTTGGTCTGAATTTCCTTGGTGCTTTCCAGAACCAAAACATTTMATGGTCAGAGGAGCCTGTTTATGGGAGAGGTTCTCCTGGAGCTTTGCTGTTCCCTGGATTTGGGTTTGAGAATGTGTAAGCTCTTAACCTATGTGTTAGACTGAAGGAGGTGCAGGTAGCCCAGATTTGGGGCTGTGGCTGATGATGCTGTRTCCCAGGGGGAATTTTGTCTCTCCTGGACAGTTCATGCCCCTGGAGCAGAGCTGCACATGGCCACCTGGAGCTGGCAAAGGCCCCTGGATCCACAGCCCTGCCCAGGATGCCATGCACAGTCTGTGGCAATAAGCTCTGGGGGGGTTATTATCAGAAACAAAGATTTTTTAGGCCAGAGGAGAAGGCTGTGGAAGCAAATTGCTGAATTTTAGGGGCAGGTAAAATTATGGAACTTTTACCCTTGAATAATGGCGATTTAATTGACTGGGCTAAATGATTGATGGCTGGTGAGCACCGAGTTGGAATTACCAGGGCAGGGGGGCAGCGCCCTTTGAATTTCCTGTCAGATATTTCAATCGCTCCCATCCCCCTCTGGAAGGAGTTAACCTGTCTGGTGGGACACTGCAGCTGCAGCAATGTACCCTTTATCAAGAGAACCAGATGAGACAAGTTCATTTAAGAAGCCTGGTTTGTCATTGTTTATCTAATTTTCGGGGTTGACACACAAAATTAGGCTGCCTGACACTCACTCGGGGCTGTCCCTGGCCCTGTCCTGCCTGACCTTTCCAGCTCCAAGCTCTGAGYGCTCCAGCAGCAGTTTCCCATTGCCTGCAGGAATCTCACCAAGCCAGGCAAGGCACACCAGTACCAGGCCAGTAAGGAAAACCAGTTTGCTGCTGGATTTTCAACCTGTTCCCTGTTGGATGTGCCCATTTCCACGTGGTTTTAAAGCTGAATATTTAAAAATGGGGAAGGAAGTGGTTATTGCTTTGTTGTGAACACGTGGATGAGTCTGAGGAAATGTGAAATMCGCAGGGATGGGATCCAGTATCCAAAAAATAAATCTGTGCACATCACAGCAGGCAATGTAACCTCACCAGGCCAGGGTTCCTGAAACAGAAAATGCTTTTCAAGCGTCCACACATTCAGCTTTTCTCTGTCTTCCCTGGCCATAAATCCCTGCAGGAATATTTAAGCACAGCAGGTTGCTGGGTGTGGGTGARAAGACATCGTTCACGGTGGCAGGCAGGGCTGGGACAGCCACAGGATTTATGAACAGTCCCCAAACTGTGAGGGACTTCCACTGTTTCCTCTCTGAGGGGACGGTTCCTCCCAGCCTCACCCCGCTGCACCGGAGCTGCAGTGGGGCAGCTGCATTTCTCCATCTGTGGTTTGGATTTTTATTGGGTTGTTTTCCAGATTCTTCCTTCCCTCCCTGGGTAATGTCCCCTTCCTTCCTTCCATTTTCCCTTCCAAAGGCATCTACTGTTTAAGGCACTGCTTTCTGWGGTGGGAGCGCTTTGGGTTGTGGGAATTAATTTGCAGTCTTTTGGATGCCTGAAGAGGGGTGAATGTGGGTTTAGGTGCTGGAAAATGGCAAAATGTTTTCTCTCTGAGGGAGGAATTTAAAGGAATCTTACAGGAGTTCTCCTATCACACCATCTTTGATAGAAAGTAACATATTTATGAAGACAAGGAAGCTAAAATTCCTATAGGTGTGGAACTTTGTAATCATTGTGAAGTCTCCCTCTGTAACCATATGTAACATGATTAAAAGGAGTTTTAAAACGCAATAAATCAGATGAAATTGAAATTAAAGAGGGGGTAAGTAATACTTAAATAATTGGTAAGATTCAACATTAATTGCTTTTTATCTTGAAGACAATCAAAATATTAATTATGGGGGTGTTAATGTTAAAAATTATGAGGGATTTTTAGCCTTTTATGTATCCACATTCTTCAAGTTCTGCCAGAGCAAAATGTGGGGAGCAGGGACGAGTTCATTAAGAGGTTCCTAAGAGAGGGGAAATCGCTGCAGCCGCAATTCTGGAGACCTTGAAGGAAAACTTCAATAATTCCCTGAGACATTTTTGGGTGCTGAGCCAACTGCCATCCCTCTTTTGTCATTTATGCTGATTTTCTCTCCAAATCTTGCTGCAAACAGGCCAAGGCCAGGTTTGAGGGCTTCCTGCATTGTGCCCAGCTCTGTGTGGTTCTTGGAGAAATGTTTTTATTGCAGCTGCAGGTGTGGGTGCAGCAGGTGCTACTGAGTGAGGTCGGGTTTTAGAAGCAGCAAAGGGAGTTTGGAAATGGATTTTGGGCCAGGCCATCCATGAACAGTGGACATCCTTGAGCCACTTGGGACCTGGTTRTTGGTGCCTGACCTGAAAATGCTGCAGGTTGCCCACTGAGGTTTGCAAAGATGGGTTCTGCTGATGCTGTGGCCTGAGCTTTGATATCTGTTCTTCCATTCCCAGTTCAAAAACAAACAAACAAAAATTTCCCAAAAAAAATTATCCATAATACTATGAAAAATAGCTTCCAGTGAAAACATCTCTTCAGCCTGAGAAAAATCCTCACAGGAGCAGGGCAGTCTAAAAATGTGGGAAATCTGAAGAGTAGTTTCAAACTTATTGCTGGGAAGAAAAGTGGGTTTGCACACTTTGGTTTCACAGGTTTTGGTGGAATATCCTCACAAAAGAAAACAAACAGGCTGACCACTGTGGAGAGCTGAGGTTTCCAGCTCTGCCTGGCTGCAATTCCGTTGGGAGCAGCTGAAATGCAGGGATCTCCTGGGTGTGGGGTGGCTTTGGCTGCAGGGGTCTCTCCATCCTAAAGGAGATTCCTGGGACAGGGACTGGCAGCAATAGCTGGGTYTAACTGCCCCAGTGCATCTGCTCCACCTTGGCGGTGCCTCCTGGTTGTTTCCTCCTGCTTCTCTCTGGTTTCTGTGGCTGTTTTGTTTAAAAGGTGAAACAGCTGCTCCTAGGCTGTGCTGGGTATGAAAGTATTTCCCTGCATTTTTCCACCCAAAAATACCCCAGTGCTGGGCAAAACAGCTTGTCCTGTCCCTCCCTCCCTTGTCCCAAGTCCYTCTCCAGCTCTCCTGGGTCCCCATTAGGCACTGGAAGGTCAGTGCTCATGAGGGATGCTCAGGGGTTGTTTAAAGAGAGGAGCTTCAGGAGATCCCACACCTTTACGAGCAGAGGAGCACATTAATGTTTTTTTTTTTTTATATTATTTTACCCAAACACCATGCAGGGTGTGGAAAGGGGCTGGGTCAAAACACAACAGGGAAATGGAACAGCAACAAAAAATAATCAGCATTTCCAGGGAGCRCTGGGCTAAGGCCTCCATGAGGAACCTGGGCTCTCCCCCCTCCTCCGAACAGGCCCTGTGGATAACACGGATCCGGGAGAAGCTCACTGGTTTGAATCCGTGTTTTATTGCCTTTTTATGGCTGTAACCCCAGGATGCTCCCGTGTAGGTTTTTTCTCCAGAAGGGTTGTGTTTCCCTTGGCTAACCCTGCCCGTCCCCCTTGCAGGGCCACCCCTTCATCGTGCAGTACAACGACGGCAACGCCGAGGTGGTGTCCATGTGGGTGTGCAGGATGCTGGAGGAGCGGCGATCCCAGGGACCACAGTGAGCTCAGCAGCATCCCAGGAACATCCCAAGAGCTCTTCCTGGACCAACAGCACCAGCTTTGGACTCGCAGTTTATCCAGATCCTATTTTACTCCGAATATTTCCTAGAAGCCGGGATATTTGTTGGCTGCCTTTTCTTCACCGCCACATCAAGGAATTTTCTCCCCACATTTCTTTTGCTGCTGAGCAATTTCCAGGTTATCTTCAGTTATTCTGTACACAGCCTTACAGCAAGTATTTTATATCTCTGTTTTGGGGTTACTGAATGGACTTTCTATTTCCTGACTCCAGAGTCTTTTTTAACWGTTGCTCCTGTAGGAGTGGCATTCCCAGTGTCCAGAGGATTTCCTGAGGAGCTGCTGGCTGTCTCACAGTGCAGGCARCCACAAAATACTGGGTTTAAATGTAAAACAAAAGCAAACAGACAAAAAAAAAAAAGAGAAGTATCTGATCTTGCCCATCCTGTGAGGAGTGAGGGTGTCAGGTGGGTCAGCATCACACCAGTAAGTGACTGGTAATGCTTCTCTCTGCTCCCAGTGCCGGCTGCTGGGGATCGGAATTGCTGGCAGGGCCAAGCAGGGGAGGCAGCACAAAAAAAAGAGGAGATCCCTAAATCAGAAAGGTTTGGCTGAAATAGGAAAGGTGAGGTGAAAGAGGACAGGGCTCTGCTCTGGAGSCARGCTGGGAGAGCTGRGAATGTTCCCYTGGAGAAGGGAAGGATCCAGGGAGAGCTCAGAGCCCCTTGCAGAGTCTGAAGGGGCTCCAGGAGAGCTGGAGAGGGACTGGGGACAAGGGATGGAGGGASAGGACACAGGGAATGGCTTCCYACTGCCAGAGGGCAGGGATAGGGGGATATTGGGAAGGAATTCCTGACTGTGAGGGTGGTGARGCCCTTCCCAGAGAAGCTGTGACTGCCTCTGGATCCTGGAATGTTCAAAGCCAGGCTGCCGTGAGGCTTGGAGCCCTGTGGGATAGGGGAGGGTGCTCCTGCCCCGGCAGGAGTGACATTGGATGGGATTTAAAGTCCCTTCCAACCCGACCCAGCCTGGGATTCCATGATTCTCACAGACAGGGAATATATGCTGGAAGCTCCCTGCAGGAGCTGCAGTCTCTGGGTGCAGAGGGAGGGCAGCCCCAGCCCCRAAATCTGCAGCGAGCAGTGGCACTGGGGGGGTGGGACCTTCCTCGGGCAGCCAAGGGCCACAGCTCCTGCCTGGGCAGCATCCCATGGGATTGGGGACAGAGAGCTGACACAGAGCATCCCTCTGATCTCAGGAACAGCTGCAGGGTTTTCCTTATTATCCCAGCAGCTCCTGGCTGGCCTGGAAGTCTCCTGCCTTGCACTGCTCTGCCTCGATCCCTGATTCCCATCCCTTGGAGTTGCTGCATGCTGGGTCCAGCCGGGCCGAGCACGGGCTCCAGGTTTGCTGTTCCAGGGAAAGGGAAGGATTGCAGTGGCTCTGCTGGGTGTTCTTGGCTCCTGCAATTCCTGGGGAGGTTTCCCCRGCAGACCAACGCAGATTGAACCAGTCCTGGTGTTACAATGCTTATTAAAAGCAAAAAAGAAATKAAACAGATGTGAAAGGCAGGTTTGGGGTGGGTGAGCTGGGTGGGAGGAGGTTTGGGGTTTGTTTGCTTGTCTTTGCATTAGAAATAAACTTTTGCTAAAAAAAAACAACACTCAGTTTATTTTATACCAGCAGCTTGACCCCCCACATGCAATTCAGTGAAATATTTCTCCCGAACAAGTGCAAATCCTAAATGTTATTCTGGAAGCAGCCTGSAAAAGACTTCGTTTCCTTCCTTGGAGGGATCGTTTGTCTTCTTTTGAAGTGTAGGGGTTGCAGGCATGAACTTACAGCCGAAAGTTTGTCTTAATTGCTCTGATGTCACAACCTTGCTGGCAGATAACAGYGCAATGAATGAGCCACCAGCCCCCGTTCCTCCAGGTCCTGTTCCTAAAGTGAGACAAATTCCCTCCCCGTGAGCCAGCCACGGCATCGCCGGCGCTGCCATTTATTTACCCCTAACAGCATCAGCTCTCCCTGGATAAAAGGGCTCTCGCTCGGATTTCGTTTAAAACTCAGCAAACCCGAGGCTTTTCTTTTCCTGGCAGGGAGATCAGGAGGGGAAGACTCATCCTTGTGGAATGCCAGGTGATGGAAATGGAAAAGATCGCCCCCCCAGTCCCACTCCTCAGCCCAGCAGCTCATTTGGGGCTCCCCCAGCGGCCCCACACCGGTCTCACCTCTCTGTCTCCCTTTCTGTAACCTCGGCCATGGTGATTCCTATGGGAGTGTGGATGYGGGGACTCACTGGGGAAAACGGAATGTGCCAGAACTTCCAGTGTTTTCCACATTTCCCTGCCTGCGATCCTTGCCAAAGCTCTTGTGAGATGAGCTTGTGGAAGTTCGCCTATAAACTCAGCAACAAAATCAGAAAATATTTTGTTTCTCTCGTAYTCCGTGACCAAATCCATCCCGCTGTCAGCATTCCAAAGGCGAAGCGTCCGTCTTTGTTTTCTAAAGAACAGCCTGAAAAGCTGGATGGAGGAGGCGGGGCTGCGCGGGGTCCTTTACCTGTGCCTGTCCCTTGGCTTAACGCCGGCAATGTGATCGCCTTAATAACCGAGCAATCACCAGAAACGGCTCCCGGGAGCTTCATTTGATCCCTCGGATACCCGAGAGGAAAAGCAAAGGGGAGGATGGAATCTGGGAGCGGCGCGTGTGTTTTCCTGCCTCCCGGAGCTCCCTGTGGCCCTGCGGGGAAAGGTTCCCTGGAGGCATCCATAGAAAAGGGATGGACCGCGGCGGATGGTGATGTGGGGAGCGTGTGGGCACTACATGAAGCAAAACCTGGGAATTTGGGGCTTTGTTGGGAAAAAAAAAAAAGCGCCAAATCCACGGGGGGAGAGCGAAGGCTCTGGGAGAGCTGCGGGAGAAGCTGCTCTGGTGACAGAGGGGCTGTGGGGTGGGGAGGGGGCGATGCCACCGGAGCGGGCACGGGCTGCGCTCGCCTTTGCGGCTCCGGCTGCGCTCCCTGTGCCCAGCGCTGCCCCCGGGCAGGACAATCCAGGAGCCGCCACATCCCACGGGAGCTGCACCTGGGACCGCCGGGAGCTGCTAGGGAGGGACAGGAGGGACCAGGCAGAGCAGGGACCGTCCCAGCCCTGGCTCCGCTCCGGGGCAGCTGTCGGTGGCTGCTCCCGAGGGTCCGGGACACACACACAACCCCTGCGGCCCTTTTGGGCAGTGAACAGGAGCGGCAAATCCCATCTCCAGGGTGCTCCAAGGGCTGCWCAGCTTCTCGGACACATCTCTGTGCAGGAGCTCTTCCTCCCGCTCCGGTCGGGATGTGCCACCAGCAGAGATTCGGGAACATCCTGGCACACCCGTCCTTGCCCGGCTGCCAGGGGCCGGCCCATCAGGGATCAGTCAAACCCTGGGTGCCCCCAGCTCCTGGAGAGCKGCAGAGAACCGAGCTGGGGCCCCTCCGTCTCTCCCGAGGGTGCCCCTCTGCAGCCGGGGAAGGGTATTTATGGGTGACTGCCCCGGGGAACCGGGCAGGGCCAAGCCCGAGTCTTAAAAGCTGCAGCTGGGTGRGAGCGATGTCCCTGCGGTGACAGCCAGGCCTGGGGCAGAGGGGCTCTCCGAGGGAGGATCTGGAACCCGTTGAATGATGGTGAGGTCCTGAGCCATAACCGTTATTTTAGGATAACTCMTCTTCAGCATTGCCGGGGGACTCAAAGGTTCCGTGGGGCAGAAATCTGGAGGGATGGGGGGGCTGTCCCCCGAACCTGCTGTCCTCATCCCGCTCCCCCAGCTCACCAGCACTGCACTGCCAGGGTGGCCAGCCTGGACTGGGAAAACCTAACGGGGAAAAAGAAATTTAAAATTCTCCAATTGTGTTATTTGGTCCCATCGAATAAAAAAAGGTTGTGCGAGCTGCTCTAGTGGAAGGTGTCCCTGCCCATGGAGGTGGGGTTGGAAGGAGAGGAGCTTTAAGGTCTCTCCTAACTCAAAGCAGCCACAGCGAGCCCGTGATCCTGTGCTTTTCCCGTCGGGAAGCTGCAGCCGGAGCGCTGCGGCGCGGCTGCCGAGGAGCTGCGCTGACCCGGGGCTGCGTTACCTTCAGGAGAGGGGACGTCCATAAACCACGCGAGGACAGGATTTATGGATTGAGCCTTACTGGCTCCCGGAGCGGCGGCCGCCTCCCGGGCCCGCGCTGCGGCTGCTGCCGGCGCCGGGCCCGCGGTGCAAGTTCAAGGTTTATCGGAGCCGGAGAGCCCGGGAGGGGTTTTAATGGCAAATGGATGTCTGGGGCTTTTATGGGCAGCAGGAGAAAAAGTTCCCCGCAGCCGCGGCAGAGCTGCCAGGCCCGCGCGCAGGTGAGTGCGGCTCCATCCCTGGCAGGGCACCGGGAATTGCTGCCCTCGGCTCGCCCCGCTCCAGCCCCGCCAAGGTGTTCGGTCTAACCCCGTCAATAAAGTCGTGTCCATCGATCCCGCACGGCGCGTTCCTCCGCAGCCCCACGGCCGCTCCGGCACAGGGAAATTGGGAAGGTTTGGAGCCGCAGGGACGGCGCACGAAGGGTTTGGGTGGCCTGAGAGGTGAGGGACAGGGGACAAGGTGACAGCAGCTGCGGGGGTCGGACAGCGGGGGACCTGAGGCACAGCAAGGGGTGCACACGGGGGAGAGACGGGGGTTGGGGGGTGGACACGGTGGGTGCCGTGGAGAGGGGGAAAATGGTGGGAGAGCTGGGGGCCATGGAAAAGGGGGTGCACAGAGAGGGTGAATCGGGGCGGGCGAGCCGGCACAAAGAGATCCTGGAAGCCCCGAGAAGAACCCAGAGGCTCCCCGGGGATGGCAGGGCAGGAGCCCGGAGGGTTCCGATTCTCACCCCGCCCCGAGGGGCTCAGCAGCCGGGTCAGGCGGAGTGTGCCCGGCCTGCAGAGAGCCGCCGCCCGCTCCCTTTGTCAATGTCCAGTAATTAAAATGTCACCGTTTAATTTTCAGGCCTCTCGGAGCAATCTTTTCCTAATAAAGAGTCTAATCGAAACGCTCCTTCCCCCGCCTCGGCGGGAAGGGCCGCGGAAGAGGCTGCGGAGGTGCAGAGCCGCCGCGGATCGATGGAGAGAAGCCCGGATTGATCGGCCTCTAAAATTAAATTTATTGGGGTCATGGTTTTATATGGTGCTGATACAACTGTTAAATGGGGAACATTCATTTCCAATAGGAGGCGTTTATTAAACTTCCACTGAATTAGACCGCCGTGATTTATGTGGCAATCTCGGCTCAGCCCTCCAGGAGCGCGGGGCCTTCCGCGCCCGCCACGCGTGATTATTTATTTATACACCCGTGACACGGCTCCCTAAGTTTTAACCTAAATTATCCACCGGCTTCGTCTGCCAGCGGCACCGGCCCGGGGAACGGGGAAGGATGGGGGTCCCGTCGAGGCGCAGCGCCCTCTCCGCCGGCGGCGGCCCCTCCGCGACCCCCGGCCCCGGGGGCGTCCCCCGGGGGGGGTCCCCGGTTTGGGGGGCGGCGGCGCCCGCAAAACGTCCCGACTCTCGCGTTCGGCGATCGTTGAGCGTTAATTAGAAATTCATTACAATTAAAAGCCGCGCGCACACGCCTTAATTACATCTGATTTTTAATTCCGAATCCGTGTTTACACAGTAAGCGAGACGTACCTCCTGATTATCCCCAATACTCTTTATACTGTACTAATTATGTAAATTAAACCTAATTAACTGACAAAAACTGCAGTCAATTCAACTGTTAAAAGATACGGCGGTTGCGAGGAGCGGGGCGCCGGCGGGGAGCGCGGCCGGGGCGGTGGGGCCGAGGTCGGGCCCGGGGCCGCTCCTCGCCCCGGGGCTCCGCGCCGCCGTCGGGGCGAGCCGGGGGCCGCCTGCGCTGCTCCGGGCACCGGCCGAGCTCTGCGGACACCGAGGCGGCGGCACGGCCCGGGCCAGGGGACAGCGGAAGGGATTGGGGCAGAGCCGCATCCTCCCAGAGCCAACCCCCCTCCTCCAGCCCCCGCGCCGCGGCACCGCAAGAGCAGCCCCGGCACCGGCGATACCGGCTCGGTCCGCGCCGCCGCCCGCTGCCGGTGCCTCGCAGCCCGGCGTGGCCCCGCGGCCGCTACCACAACTCTGGGTATCGGACGCCGCGGGATCGCCCGAAACGCGGCGGCGAGCAGGGCAGCGGGGCTCGACCCAGCGCGGGAGCGTGTGACGGCGCTCCTGCCTCCGTATGGCTSGAGGAGGGGGGGCTGGGGAGGATAAATAATTAAAAGGCGAGGAATAATTACCGGCTCGGGTTGCGATCCTTGCGGGAAGGCCGCGCCGCAAGSCCCGGCCGGCAGCACCCGGTCCGCGTCCCCCCCGACGGGGCGTCCCGGGGGGACCCGCGGCCGCTGTCCCGCGTGGGAGCGCGGCCCGGAGCTCGGTTCGGCTGCGGAGGCGAAGRGTGGCTCCGCACCTGCGTTTCGCTCCGCGGCGGCTCCGCCGCATCCTGCCGGTGCCGCTGGTGATGGCGGGGAAGGGAAGGCGCGGGGGCACACACAAAAGTGATAGCTGGGGGCTATCGGCCCCGTTATTAACTTCTGTTTGATCAGTGTAATTGCGCCGATCGCGGCCGGACGCGATGATTAATTACAGTTTAATTAACGTGGCCGTGACGAGCGCTGCATGCAGGAACCCAACCCGGGCAGGGATGCGGCTGGAGGCCCCCGCCGCGCCGGCAGGACCGGCGGACACTGGAGCGCCGGGTGCCCTAAGCCGCCCCGGTGTCGGCCGGTMCCGCCGGTGTGGCGTGAGCCCCCGTGGGGAACGAAAAACACGAGCTCGCCCCCGTCTGYCCTCTCCTCCCGGCGATTTCGTTGCCGCCCGATGTCCCCCGCTCGGCCCCKGTACCGTTCCCGCACCCTCACCCCGCACCGGAGCGCGCATCCCGGCTGCGAGAGGGATGTGCGGCAGCAGCGCATCCCTGATTTCGATGGGGTCCCTCCGCCGCTCCCCCCGGTTTCCTCTTTTCGTTACCGCCCGCTCCCCACGCAAACTTTCAACGAGCATCGCTCCCCCAGGGATGTCGGCTCCGCGGGAGGTGGGTGCGGGGGGGGGACACGGGGGCGCCGAGCCCCACGCAGGTTCGGCGTGGGGCTGATCCCCGCTCTTACCTCGGGCAGCCCGGGCGGGTCCCCGCTCGGTGGCGGCCCCCCACGCCCTCCCCCCGCTCCCTCCCCGTTCCGCCGTGCCTTAAAGCCGCGCCGTGATTGACTGGAGCGCATCGGTGATTGACGGCGGCGGGGTCCCGGAGGCCGTTAATGTAAATATGCTGGTGCTAAGTGGGTGTGTCTTCCCGTTATTTTAGCTGTCACCGGATCAATGTGCAGCGTCTCCAAGTACGGATCCGGATCCTCCCTCGGTGGCGCGGCTGGTCACTCGCTCTTGTTGCATCTCACCCGGGCGGACGCGGCGGCGGCGGCGGCGGTGGCGGGGCGGGCGGCGGCCCCGAGGCGTCGGTGAAGGGCGCGCCTGCTGCCCGCCCGCCCCGCGCCCCGGCGCTTCGGCTGCCCCGGGAACGGGCTCGGTGCGGACGGGCCCCCGCGGCCGATGGCGGTCCCGGCCCCGGGCTGCGGCCCCTAGTCCCGAGCAGAGCCTGCACGTCCAGCCGGGCTCCGCGGCGCGGTGAGTGCGAGCGGGCGGCGGATGGAGGGAAAGGGGATGGCGATGGGGATGGGGGGGGCGGAAAGAGGGGCGCGTTTTCGGGAGTCGCTCCCCGTTATTTTGTGTAATTACCACGGAAGCGGCTTAAGCACCGGGAGCCCTCCCCGCTAAGCCAATTTGCCTGGCTCGCTGCTGCCCTTCTGCTACGTGCGGCGGGTGCTGCCCGCCCCGGCCCCTAATCCGCCCGCGCCTAATCGCCTGCCGGGGACACGACAAAGGGGCTCCGGGCCACCGCGCCCGCCGCCCCGCTCCGCCCGCGGACATCGAGAGCCAAGTTTGGGCCCGCCCGGTCCGGCCCGGGCTCGGGCCCCCGGGACGCGCTGGCCGCATCCTCCAGCGCGTTTCGTTGGAGTCCGCMCGGAGCCCGCCGCAAACCCGCACGGCACGGCCCGGCGAGCCGGCACAAAGGGAAGGGACGCGGCACCTCCCGGAGACTCGAGGAGGAAGGAAGAGGAGGTGGTGACCCCCCAGGATGCCCTTGCCCCGGGCTCCCGGGGCCGCTCAGCCGCGGGGCTGCGCCCGGCGGGCGGATGCGGCGGCGCTCGGTACCGGCGGCCGCGGCGCGGAGGATGCGCTCCGGCCCCGCCAGACCCCGCCGGTCGGGGAGGGTCCTGCGGCAGCGCCCGARCGGCTCTGGGTCGGGGCCGGTAGCGCAGAGCGAGGAGCGGCTGGGCCGCGCAGCGCAGATCGGCCGGGCTGCGGAGCGGGGCCTCGGGAGCGGCGGGCCGGGAGCGGCGGTGGGGCCCCGGGAGCGCCTCTAACCTGCGCCTTTCCCCGATTTTGTTTTGCAGGGGCGTTTTGGGGGGGAATGGAGGCGATCGCCAGTCAGATGGGAAATGGGAGAGATGCAAGCTCCTCCCCAAATTCAAAGCAAGAGCTGCAACCGTACCAGGGCTCCAATACCCTCAAGCCCAACCAAGTGGGTGAGACCTCCCTGTACGGCGTGCCCATCGTGTCCCTGGTCATCGACGGGCAGGAGCGGCTCTGCCTGGCGCAGATCTCCAACACGCTGCTCAAGAACTACAGCTACAATGAGATCCACAACCGGCGGGTGGCCCTGGGCATCACCTGCGTGCAGTGCACGCCGGTGCAGCTGGAGATCCTGCGGCGGGCCGGGGCCATGCCCATCTCCTCCCGCCGCTGCGGCATGATCACCAAGCGGGAGGCGGAGCGGCTCTGCAAGTCCTTCCTGGGCGAGCACAAGCCGCCCAAGCTGCCCGAGAACTTCGCCTTCGACGTGGTGCACGAGTGCGCCTGGGGATCCCGGGGCAGCTTCATCCCGGCCCGCTACAACAGCTCCCGCGCCAAGTGCATCAAGTGCAGCTACTGCAGCATGTACTTCTCGCCCAACAAGTTCATCTTCCACTCGCACCGCACCCCGGACTCCAAGTACACCCAGCCCGACGCGGCCAACTTCAACTCCTGGCGTCGCCACCTCAAGCTCAGCGACAAGACGGCCACGGAGGAGCTGTCGCACGC